CACCCGCCTGGGAGAGGCGCTGGGGTGGGTCCCCCGGGAGCGGGAGCGGGAGCGAGCCCCTCCCGGCCCCCGACATTTCTCTTCTCTGCTCCCAAGGGGAGCCGGCGGGGAGAGGGGAAGAGACAGGAGGCGGCCGGGCTGACAGGCACCGAGGGCAGAGCGAAAACTCCGCGTCTTGCGGGGAAATACACACGTCATCTTCCTAGCGTACTGTAAAAATAGGCAAAATAATAGAGTAATATTTTGAGAAGCGCATGAAGTTACTTGAGAGTAGTTGGGAGTCCTCTCAGGAGAAGGGCCAAGCTTGCTAAGCCTTCCAGTGCCTCGCATCTGCTCAGGCAATTCAACGCATCTTAAAGAATAAACCACAGAACAAGAAAGAAATGCAAACCAGGGGTGCCTGTGCCCCTGGGATGTGTCTGGGCAAGAAAATAACGTTTATTCCCAGCAGGCAGCAAGAAGCGTGTGTCAGGTAAGTGGTTTGCTCAGCTGCTCCAGCGGAGAGCTGGGAGCCCTTGTCCCCAGAGCCTGGGCTGGGCCGGCATTGCAGCAGGCGGGGGCCCAGCGCTGACCCGGGCACCATTACCCACTGCCCACTGCCAGTGAGAAGAGCGAGAGGTGGAAGCATCTGAAACATCCTGTTTATGGGACTGCGGAGTCATTTTAATTTTTTTATTTTGAAGGTCTCTCACTTTTACAGAACCACCACCATCCTCAAAAAAAAAAGGTAAACGTAACAGACACCTATTTTTATAGTAGTTTGCTGTATGTCAAAGCTTATTAACATCCTGTGATCAAAGAAAAGGGTGACTGGAGGATGTCACTGATTTTGAAATAAGGGTGCACTTCTAAAACAGAAAGAAATAGAGTTTATTTTACGGATTACTCTCGTCCATCGGCTCCTCCTAATGGTCTTCCCCGGGCACTACAATTACCGAATTATCTAAACCCTTCCGTACCTACTTCTAGTTCTCAGCGAACTGCATTTAGCGAACTTGCCTTGAGCAGTAGCAACAGCTTTCAGTAAGATCGACACAGAAAGACAGACCTCAGTCTTCTAAGTATTTCCAGTAAAGTTTGTCTCTAACTTTTCAGTCGTCTTGTATGCCAGAGAAAACTCTTCCACAAAACAGTGTGAGATCCTGTGTAAGATGAGTAGAAGCAGTCTAATGCAAGAAAAGGGAGAGTTGTTACTCACGGCACTTGCTGGTAGTGTTTTGCATAGCCTCTCCTAGGCTTGATGCAATTAAGGCTCCAGTTCAGAATATCAAGTTGAGAGACCATACAGAACACCAGTGCTTCTGTTCTCCTGCAACAACTTTAGGATTTCCTTCCACGCTTTGTACTCTGCAGGATCCAAACAGTAAAAAACTATTACCCACATTCCCTAAAATTGTTGTTCTTTAAAGCTACGACAGGATTTTATAGGTGCTCCTATACAGCTGAACTCTCCTTTTAAAGTGCCTCCAACACTATTTTTTTTTAAAAAACCAAATCCTTGAGTTCTTTAGACAAGTCTTTTCTATCTGGAGTGTTGCGAGCAATATACTGCTATTTGTTTATTCCAGCATATACCTTAGAAATAACAATTGACACATCTCACTCCAAAGGAAATGCTTTCTGAACTTGCCCTTGCTTCTGCCAACACACAGCCAGTGACAGCTCTCTTCCTGTCTGGTAGCAGTTTGGAAATGGTGGACTAAAGACTAAAGCTAGATGTATGCAATGAATTCAAAAGAGTTAATTGTTGCTAACTTGACAGTCTGACTGAGCTTGTCCAGAAGCATAGTGCTCCACTGTTCATCCTCAATATGTCTATTCATGTTTGATTTCCATCAAAAGCATTCAACTTAACTATCTACTCTCCCCTACTGACTGCATTTCAAACCAAGATTTATTTGCTCCTCTTTGCTGCATGATTTTGTATATTGCATTGGTTTGTACTGCTCAAGAACTGAAAATACTATTAAAAAAAGTTTAGTAAACACACACCACTTAAATAGCCAAAGGCAGCTCCCTCCCAAACTGGTGATATGCGAGGACTCATTCTTTTGTTACATTTAAAACAGTAAGACCCAACTTAACTCATCCTTTTACAGGCATAAAGTGCAGTGCTGTAGGTGAATGGCATACCTGAAGAATTTTCAGCAGCCTCCATACATTGAATACATGTACCACTGAGAATGCAAAAGGTACTTTCACACCATAAACTTAAGTTACAGCATACTTTATATTAGCACAATAGCATAATTACCTATATAAGCTATTCACTGCTGTGTTAGCTGCCACCTTCTCAAGAACTGGCTGACAGAGGGACACACTTGTTTTAATGACTGCATTTAATTTTTGTCTTATCTATGCAGAAATGGGTGTCCATTTACAACCCAAGTGTTCTGCAGTATATTAAAATTCATAATGCACCCTCTTGCCTTAAGGGTGAAAAATCTTACCATATTCACAAAGATGTACACTGGATTTCAAGGTTCATCTAGTCTACCTAGTTTCTGAAGCATACCTGTAGATTCCACCTCTGAGACCAACACAGTAAACTGACATATTAAAAGGAAATTTAAGATCAGACTGTAGCTGAATTGGGTCATTATGCTCTGTCAGATACAGCTATCTGTGTCTGTTTTAATACCAGCACAGAATTCCATCTAGTATGTGTTAGAAATTATCTCCATAACAGAACTGCTTAACTGGCAGCCCAGTATTATCTTCAATATATGAGACAGCCTGATATCTACATACCTATGTGGTTTTAGTAATTTCATTCTCTATGTATAGGGAAAGAACAATAAAATTCTGGAGAACAAAAGTTTTGTACAAACCTGAGCACAGCACATCTACCTTCTAAAAATGTGCCAAGGAGAACACCTGAGCAGCAACAGCACAGTTCAGACACAGAATTGTTATAGTATCTATGCCAAACCTGAGTTACAGTTATTAGAGACAAACCAAACTAAGGAAATCTCATTGCATACTGATAAAGGGAAGTTATGAAAGAACTAAAGAAACAGGCCATTTCCTTGTTTATAACCACTGAAATTTTATTTTACAGTATATTTGTGACATTTTATGTTACTATAACCAAAGATCAGGGTTGTTTACAAATATAATGACTGCCATTTGATGTAAACAATTAAAAAGTGTCTCTAAATATTAAAATTTTACATTATGATTTTGGTTTATTAAATTGAATTACTCTTGTGCCATCAGGTATTAGTGGAGAGGAACTAATTTAAGCAAAAATAGTTTTCAGAAATTAGATGTAGAAACTGAGAAGCCTGAATAAGATTTCAAAAGACCACTCCCCCATCACTGTAAAAAGGAAGAAAACAAATTCGTTGCAACTTCAATGAAAGAAGAGTCAACCAAGTCCATTTTTATTAAGGCTTCTTTACATATTATTGAATCCCATCATGCCTTTCATATTCCCAGCAGCACCTTGTTGAAATTGTCTCATCATTGACTGCAATCCTGCCATGCCACCTGTAGAAAAAAAAGTAAGAAAATGGATGTGTTAACTCTGAAGCACAACTATCTTGCTTCTGAGGCCTCATTACAGCAGACACATTATTTCAGTAATATACAAATGCAAAAGCCCAAGATTGTCAAGCCAGGTTTAAATAGCTACTGAAAATGGACAACTGAGTAATTACAGAAAGGTCTGCAAAACATCAGACTTAAAGTAGGGTTTAGGATGACCTATGTATTAAGATTTAGACAAAAGAAAAAACCTTGAAGGAATGACCATTATCAATGAGTAAGGTTCCAATATGAGAGTCCCGTCTTAAAGCTGCTCTTGTCAAACTCAATTATTTGAGGCAAAGCTCAGAAGGGAAGGGAAGTTTAGGAATAGATTTGCTTTACTACAGTCACGCTTCAAGTCATCACTTTACTATTTCACCAGACACCACTACAATTGCTCATTTTGAGAGCTGAATCCAAACAGACTAGATTAAACACTGGTAAGTTCAAAGCAGTCATAACATACAGACTAAACTTTCTGATTCTTGTTAGGAAACCTAGAAATACTTAATAAAGATATAATGTGCATTCTCACATCACCTTCTTCACTTCTATATTTCAAATGCTCCACCATAATTGGTACTCCTCTCAAAGCTGTAAAAAGCCAACACATACCCATATGGTGAAGAACTCTTGGATCCATCATCTTTGCCATCTGTTGGTTCAGTTTGGCCAACTGTGATGGGTTTACATTCTTTGACATATCACCGCCTAAAGAAAAATAATGAAAGAAGCAATTGTGATAAAGTGGATTAATATATGAGGCTAAAAATAAAAATTTTACCTCCTAAATCTAGGTTCAAATCCATTAGTCCATGATCAAAAGTTACATCAGCCACTTAAAAGTATTTAAGGATCACAGTCCCTGTGCCCCACATAACAGACAAAAGTGTGAGTATTGTAGTAGTAGTAGTGAACTCTACACTGAAAACCAAAAATACAGTAGTTCTTATTGCTAAATTACACATTACTGTCATGAAAAACAGTGCAGCTCTTAGCAGTTACATAAGAGCTTTCAAACATAATGAAAATGAGTGAACTGTAACTTGCTTCTCCCAACACCTAATTGGTAATTTTATATTTGCTTGCATTCACACATCAAGTGACCTCCCCACTGAATTAATATTTTACTTTTTCCCACTTTCCCGCCCCC